GTATGAGTGCCAATGAGACAACTCTCCATTCAAGTCACAATTTATAAAAGTAAACCATTATAGGGCAAAGTACGGTCTTCAACACGGAGCCTTGGCTAACACCGAACAGCAAGCTATAAAGGACCCCAACAATAACTAGTGTAAAACCATTCAAACGGGAAAACAAACGGTCTAATCTATATAAAAAACGAGAAACGAGAAACACTTATGAACTACATAAACAAACGACAACTACTGAACATCAGATTCCTGACTTAGGACACTGCAAACAATTGCAGCGGGTTTAAATGTTTTAATGGTACCAAACCTTCACCCTTATCTGAAACAATAGTGTAACATCACGACATAGAAAGACACACTATAAAATATCAATTGAAATGGCTAATCTCAATCAAAAGACATATTAACACATGTGAACATACACTGAATGAATACATTTGATCTATGATACAGTGTAAATACCAAATCAATAAAATAAGGGACGCATAATTAAAGTAACAGTATTATACCGCTGTGAAATGTTAAACAATTTAAGAAAAACAACAATAACCTTGAACATAAACCGCCATTTACAATAATATTATACACAGGTGAATGAAAATAATTTTAATGTTAGATATACAGTTTAAATGGAGAAAGGGAATATTATTACAAAATAAAAAATGTTGATAGATTTCAAACATGTTTGTTGACCGAGATATATGATGATTCGGTCTTATCAATTTAAAAAAACACTTGTGTAACAATGGTTGTTTAAATCAGGTCATATGCGCGTGATCTTATCGATTGAATGCAAGGTATGTTTACATCAGTATTAGGCCCGTTTGAATTTTTCTTTATGACTTGTTTATACATTGTGAATGTGTTGTATATCAATCGGTTTTGTTGAGAAAGGTTTCATGGACTTCTGCGTGTAACCGTGGCGTACATATCAATTGATAAATAGGATAAGGTTGTCTTTTGATGAATTGATTCAATATTTTAATTGTGAAACATGCGATATTCATGGAATTATATTGAAAAAAAAAATAAACGATGAATAACATAAAGTTGTAATTCTGTTTTGATTTTAATTTGTTTTCATAATAATTAGTTCCTAAACGGCTTTTTTTTTGCAAACTAATGGCGTTCTTGGGGAAAAGGGGCCAATTGTAAATGATAACCCTGACGAAAAGGTTTTGTCTTTAATTATCTGCTCGATTATATCTATCAGAAGAACGAAATCTTGTGATTGTTCTTTTTTTTTCTCCCGTAATTGTTTTCGTTGATACTTGCAGTATTGATTATATATTAAGTTTTAAGTTCAGGATTGTGTTTTTTTCATAGGATTTACAAATAGAATGAAAGTACTAGTCCCGTTGTCATAGAATTTCCAGGTGTCCATATGGTGACCTGTAAATGTTCTATTATATGTATTTTTGTCATTAACAATCCAACATATCACCGTATACGGTTATGGTACTTCATGTAAGGTTCAAAAGTTTTATCCAATAATTTATCAAATTACATATAAAGAAATAACAAGGTATTATCTAACTCAAAAAAATCTGATTGTCCACCTATATTAATCAACGAAGTAATGCTATTTTATAATGCTATAAATATATATTAATGTAATTTTGTGTTAAACGACGTATTGTATGATCGTTTACTAGAGGTTTCGAGATTTGTCACATATCAGGTACTGTTGGTACATAACTTAACCGTTAGTGTCATTTAATGCAGCAGATTATTTTATTCATCATGACGAAAATAATGAAATTGAAATGAATATTAGCAAAAACTATCGTCACTTTTTTTTTATAACGATTTAACCGTAGCTTGAACACGAAGTTAATGAATTTATATGAGATTTAGTTAGTCCACATGTGCATCAATCAATAAGACCTTACACGAACTGAGTTGACAGGGCGTTGAGATTCTAAATATTGATTTGCTTTTCTGTTTGTTTTTGTAATTAGTTTTGTTTTCTTTATATATAGAAAACAATATAAAACTAATAATTTATCTTGAGTATAAACATAATTAATTTTATTTTGAAATAATTAAAATACTGTCAATGAACGACCTTTTTAAACATGTCGTGTTACTGATATTTGTTATATACGTTAATATGACAAAAACGTGTAGATTTCTCATTAGTTCTAGCATGATTTTAAATTTAAATAGTATTATCTAGAAATGCGATCTAAAAAGTAAACTGAAAAATATTAGAAAAGAAATATTTACTTCTATGTTGCCGATAAGAAGAAATCCCGATAACATCTAGAATCATTGATTTAAAAAAAATAACTAAAACAATTGTAACATAGTTATAGTAAATTGCACTGACACTCGTCTTTGTGAAACAGTTAATATTCACATCTGCTTATTAACCATTTGTTTGTACTTTTATTATTGGTAGACTTTCTCAAACATATTTAAGACGATTTTCGCGAACATGCAGACAAATTTAAGAATGAGGAAGACGATAAATATATGACAATATTTAATGTTTATAAATAATGCGACGAATTGACACTGATTATTTAAACAAAATATTGATGACCTATGTGATATTAAAGTATCTGTATTAAAATTTTGTTACAATTTTTGAGACATTTGCACAGTTATATAAAAGCCAATAAAAACGTCCACGGTTAAAAACAAAATGCACGGTTGGTATCATAGTATAGATGTCAGCCCTCGTTTTGACAATTAGGGTTTTATTCTTATTTTATCATTAATACATTATAAATGAGGCTAATTTTGTATGTTAAAATAGCTCTTTTTGGTTCAATGGCATGTTTTGTGAAAGATTACCCTAAACTTTCAAAAATTGTTGTTTTTACCATTGATATAAAAGATAGATTATACATGTCTTTTACATTTTAGCTTGGTTTTGCCGTTGCAATTTCAGGGGAAATTAATCTAAATTACAAAAATAACAACCTGTTTGTGCTAATGTTACTTGCAACGGTTGCTTGAAAGCATATTCGAGTACACACAATATTGTTTGCTATAAATACGAAAAATATCCACGTGAAATCAAATTCAAGTTGCAGCTTAAATTACATTCCACCAAATACTTTTTATTATCAATAATATCAATACGTAAACAATAAATGTTGACATGAAGTGAAGACATCAATTATTTTCGAAGGTTTAATGACTGCTCCTAGTTCATGCAACGGTTGGTACGGTAGATAATCGGGAAACATTTATTATACGGAATCGACGTGTTCATGTTAAGACACGTTTGAAATGACCTGTAAGAACTATTAAGATCTAAGGTTTCTTGTAAATGTGTTATATAGCAATGCTTTCGGTACAGTTTGTTTTTGCTTTATTCGTCAACAAAATCCTGTAATTAGCGTTGATTAGTTGTACTTTACAAGAAGCAAATTTATTTGGATGTATCACAACGTAACCTCGGACAGTTTGATCGGGGTTATTACATCAAAAGCCTCATGTGGGGACATAATTTCTCTCTCTGCATGTTAACGTCTTGCAACAACTATTTGATGCGTCAGTGAAGGACTTGTTAAACTGTTTGTCCCTATTCAACATAACATAGTTCACAGTGACATTTAACAGTTTAGCCCTTCTTTAACTCAGTCAACCTATTCATCAGAACCTTCGTATTGTTCAACAAGAAAAATTAAATCCATAATTTTGAGGATTGTAAGACAATTTGGAGGAAACAAACTGTATTAAAAGTGTTTTTTTTTTTTAATTATTGTGATCGATTCTTACGTACTGAATCATCTATGATGTGTAATCAGAAACAAACATCAATGAATACGTTTTCGTTCGTAAAGCAAATCCCTATGTTTGTAACGGTTGATTTTTTTCACTAAACGATAACATAGGCTCTAGATAAATTCAACTAGTGTTTCGTTTTCACTTTTATAAACACATCCTAACACACATTATTCAGTCGTACACATTTTCATCCAATGTATTCATCCTCCATCAAGGGATGTTCGTATATGCAGTAATGTTTTGTTTAAGTCTTTTTTTTTTTCATGTAAACACCAGACATTTGCTTACGAGTTCAATATTGCATGATATTGATTCACGAGTTTATCTTTAGTTACTAAAAGAGTCTGCTTACAGTTTTCTGATCACTTATTTTCGAACTGCTGTGCAACTATATTTAAATATATTATAAACCACTTCCGATTGACTAGAGCTCAATTGACAGTTACGGCTGACCTGCATATTTTGTTCTAGGTGAGACGCGCGTTAACATTTAATCCTAGTGCCGTTGATGATTTTATTTGAGCATTTTGCTGCGTCTTCGAATGTTCAAGCCCCAAGAGACGTGGTCTTATCCTTGATCTGTATTCAAATTTTTTTATTCTCGTTTATCATAAACCTTCCCACATTTTGCTGTTCCCAATTCCTCTACGTTATACCCTTATGATCAAACTTTTAAAATTTAACCTATACTGGATTGGCTTCATAACATGAGGTGTTGGGTGGTGACAATTCCATGTGGCTCATTTTATGAACACATCTACCCTCAATACTATATGCTATCACCATTTTACTTATCTTATAATATATTACTAGTTACACTTGGTCAATATGCTTTCACTCTCTTTTTGTCGTTTTGAAACAAGAATAAACGTGTGTCATGTAACTGGAAGAAAAACAATCTTTTTTAAATGCTCACAGTCTAGACTTGCATTTAGCTCGAGCTAGGCAAATATTACCTATTAAGGTTGGCTGATTCCTGTCCAGTAGCAGCCTTCGGAAATAAAATATGCTCCATATATTTCAATGACAGTTTTTGAAAAGAAATTAAAAATTTATCGGGGTGGCAAATCCTTTTTCAAATGGTTTGTGGTCATAGCACACAAGAACATGTTTTAACCACTCACCCATATAGTCTAGAATACATTGTGATATTGCTTTCTTGAGTCAGAACTAACTGACAAAGCGTTTGTATAGTTTGGTTAACCACATTTAGTCATACTTGCTTAATTCATAAAAACATAAAACGTAATACCTGTTTGTAACATCAAGTTGTACCACAAAAGGAGTAATAGGATTTGATAATATAGTCGCATTGCTTCCGTCTAGATTGCATCTTGAGAGTATGTTGTTATTATAATCAAGCCAGTAGATATGAGCATTGACTGAATCAACAGCTATTCCAATTGGACCTGCCACTGACTGGATAACTGTCTGTAATGTTATATTCTTTGAGGGATATGCAAATCTGTATAAATCATAAAATGTAATTTACATTAAATAGATTCATCATTTATACTGCTGTTGTATTTTATACTAAAAACTCTCCATAGTCTAATTCATATTACACACACATTATATTTAATCTGTTACATCATGATATTGAAATAGTGTAATTAATAAACAATAACAAATCGATGTTTTATTTTTAAACAGATATCGTGAGATAGTGCCACTAATTTTACCATTGTTGAGACACACACACACACACATATATATATATAAGAAACAGTTAAGTAGAATCCGTATGCTAGTAACATATAAGAAAATTATTAAAAGATAATAACGGTTTCAATTCATCACTTTTACTAGTACTTTCACTGCTTTCACAGATCTTCAGGTAATGTGACTTGTGACTTGTATACATAAGTATAATATAAAACAAATGATTGACGTTAACAATAGTATGACGTTAACAAATACAAGGGAGACTACTAATGTCATTTTAAGTCTTTAAAATGTTACGTTAAAATTAAAATATTATTTATCATTTAATCCCGGGTTGAGAATGTTTATGAATAATTCTTCTTTCTTCCTCCGGAGAAAATCATTTTGACGATTGACCATATACAATGGAAATATTTTAAATCATCCATTACAACAACAATGGAAATGGTCGTTAGCCCTGATGAGTGTTAAATCCTCATGGTTGGTTTGCTGTCTATGTAAAGTCATTCTTATCCGCAGTTCATATGTTTTATATTATACTTATGTATACAAGTCACAAGTCACATTACCTGAAGATCTGTGAAAGCAGTGAAAGTACTAGTAACAGTGATGAATTGAAACCGTTATTATCTTTTAATAATTTTCTTATATATATGTGGTTTTTATCCAACGCAATCATAGGTTTGAACGTTGTTTTCAATTTAGACTTGTTTATATTTTTTCGTTTGGGCTTGTATTATATTTGCCTTCGGGCATATATGATCCGTTCATCCTATTTTGACTCTTCAAAATTCAAGAGTCAATCCCAAATTGAGGTAAATTATATGGCTTTTTAAATACCGTTTCGATTCCTAACATCACTGAAGGGACATTAATTGTCGAAATCAGGATATGGTGTACAAATTTTTGCACCTCATGTTTGCGGTATACCATCTTTTCCGCAAGTTTATTGTTTTCTGTTTTGTATTTAATTTATAAATTAAGATCCATTTTTACATCTGGTGATCCGTTTATTTGGCAATCGCCATGGCAGTCAGCAGGGTTTAAGAACATCCGTTGTTCGACCTGCTAGTCAAATGCGTTTTGTTAAAATATACTTTTTCACTTTTTTGGTCTTTTGGAAAATGTTGTTTGTGCTGTATTTAGACCACTCTACCAAGAAATTTGTTTTGCATGCACACGTATAAAAATTGTGGTTTTTATCCAACGCAATCATAGGTTTGAACGTTGTTTTCAATTTATACTTGTATATATATATATATATATATATATATATATATATATATCATCATAGTTTTAACTTTTATTTATTAATTCATAATTTTGTACCTCATTTAACATTAACGTGCTGCATTTGTTTACCTCAAATATTGTATTTTTATTTATATTGTATGTTTCTCTGTAAACTTGTATTTAGTTTTCAGAAAATTAATAAAATTGAGAATGGAAATGGGGAATGTGTCAAAGAGACAACAACCCGACCACAGAACAGACAACAGCAGAAGGCCACCAACAGGTCTTCAATGCAGCGAAAAATTCCCGTACCCGGAGGCGTCCTTCAGCTGGCCCCTAAACAAATATATATACTAGTTCAGTGATAATGAACGCCATACTAAACTCCAAATTGTACACAAGAAACTAAAATTAAAAATAATACAAGACTAACAAAGGCTAGAGGCTCCTGACTTGGGACAGGCGCAAAAATGCGGCGGGGTTAAACATGTTTATGAGATCTCAACCCTCCCCCTATACCTCTAGCCAATGTAGAAAAGTAAACGCATAACAATACGCACATTAAAATTCAGTTCAAGAGAAGTCCGAGTCTGATGTCAGAAGATGTAACCAAAGAAAATAAACAAAATGACAATAATACATAAATAACAACAGACTACTAGCAGTTAACTGACATGCCAGCTCCAGACTTCAATTAAACTGATTGAAAGATTATGTCTTCATCATATGAATATCAGGCAAAATCCTTCCCGTTAGGGGTTTAGTATCATACCATCATAACATATATGAGAAGAACATAACCCGTGTCATGCCAACAACTGGTTTTTAAATAAATGTGTTTAGTGCCGATGCAAAGACCCTATAAGTGAATCAATATTAACGCCAAAATATGCAATCTTTAATGACCTGACAACAGTATCGTAACTATATCCCTTCTTAATAAGTCTATTTCAAGGTTTTTTTAGTTTCAGAGGTGAATACTGACATTTTTGTGCTTTATAAAGAATATTTCCATAAAAAATTGGATGTGAAATACCTGAACGTATAAGAAGTCTGCATGTTGAGCTATATTTACGAATGATGTCCTTATACCGATGATAAAATTTAGTAAATGTTTGGACTAGTTTGTGATATCGAAAACCCTGGTGTAATAATTTTTCAGTAATACATAAATTTCTCTCGTTAAAATCTAAAACATTGTTACATACACGAGCGAATCGTACAAGTTGAGATATATAAACACCGTAAGATGGTGACAAGGGAACGTCACCATCTAAAAATGGAAGTATCTATCTATCTATCTATAAAGCATATCAACTTGATCAATTAACGCCGCACATATTAGACGTCAAATTAATCAATACTAGTAAAACTTATATATCAAACGCTTGTCAAGACTTATTATCCTTTTGTTGACCTTTTTCTCTAAATCCACTAAAATGTAATCTTTAATTTCAAACTGTTTAAAAACTATTTATATAAGTTGTCTTATTTCAAGACAAGGTTAAAAAGTTGATTTGAACTGCCCACGTTATGGTATTTCAACAATAAGTGTACTACACAAAGTCATACACTTAAGAGGAGCTTACATTAGAGTTGCGTAAATTATAAGAAAAAAAGCATTTGAAATTTTAGGTAACATAATTGAGGTTTTGATCAATAACACACCTCCGATTTGGAGCTCCCAAAAAGTCACACATGTGTTATCCAGTCTACCAACAATATAGAAAATAAACCGAAACATTTACATAAACACTGCTCGAATCTTTAGTCAAGTCAATTTAAATGATAACGATACTATAACTTTATTTATTAACTTAGGCATATGTTTAAAAGAAGAACGTTTGCAAGTGTGCCTACTGATATATTTGTTGAACTTAAAAGTTAAATACACTAGTTATTTTTTCCGGAGTTCCCTAAAGACGTGTATTTTGTAACGTATTATACATATTTGGTTTGATACATCTAAGCATCTCCATGTTATCACCAGCTGATTACACTGTTCAAATATACATTGTACTTGGCTTATAATTTGGAAATCAGACGCATGTTCCGTCTATTAAAGCATTCTACAGATAGGTGCAGTCCAAACCTGTACCACAAGTTAACTTGCCAACCAGTCATGTTGACTGGTCAAAGTTAACCTGTGATTGGATTTAGAACTGTTCTGACCAGTTCTAGGACCACAATCAAGTAAACTTGGAAAGTGGACTTGGTCCTAGGACTGTTTTTATGACTGCCGAAAAAATTAACTTTGATACAAATCCGCTACTATTATAACTTAACTTGGATACAGGTCCGCTACTATTATAAGTTAACTTCGAAATCAGTCCTGCCATAAGTTTACTTTGATTTTGACAACTCCGATCGAACCAGACCTGATCTCAAATTAACTTTTGTCTGGTCTGTTCAACACTAAGTTAACTTGTAACCAGGACCGCTCTACATCGATTTTTTTTTTAATATTCTTTAATGTCTTTGTTTCTTGATATAAACATGGAAGAAAAAGTCAATATAATACTTCCATAATATAAACAGATTAGATACATGTATTTCTAAATAAAGTACGCATAAAACTTTGCTTGTTCTACAAATGTCTACGTGATCTGCCTTTTTATAAATCAAAAACGATTTTGGTTACAATGCTAACGGGCATTGAATATATACTACAACAAATATCAAATTCTTTAAGTCGTATATGCATGTACATTATAAAAAATATGTTAGTTCTGATCGGGTTTAAAATGAAGCATTGATCTTATAAACTTGGTTATCAGATAAAATCGATAAACAATGCCGATAACGAAAAGTACTTATATCGTATAAAATAATCGCGATAATTGAAAGCAATATTGGTGTACAATTACTGATAATTATCATGTTGATGGTCAGCTTACTATATTTTTTTTTTCTGCACCAATTAACAGTGCAAGCATGTCCTTTTTTTGCAAATAATTGAATCATCACCAAACATCAGCAGTTTTCGCATCTCAGACTGGCTCAAATATAACAAAAGTATTTGTCTGCATCAACTAAAACTGACCATATTTGTATTTTCTTATGTAAATCTATATAGCCGCATAGTAAATCAGTAATAGTTGTATGTCAGGATATAATACAAATGACAGCAATATTCGAACACAATGACTGCAAAATGTTGTCCGCACCAATTTATATCGCCAGCATGTCATCATTTTTATTTAATATATTGATACGTAACAAAATTTCAGTAGTGTCAAACCCTATTCTGACTCGTATAACAACATTATTTGACGGTATCAACAAAAACTGACCATATTTGCACTGCATTATGTAAGTCTATAAAGCAGTACAATAAATCAGTAATATTTTTATGTCAGGATGGATTGTATAATACAAATGGCAGCAATATTGGAACACAATGACTACAAAAGTTTGTCCGCATCAATTTAGAATGCCAGGATGTCCTGATTTTATCAATATATTGATACGTAACAAAATTTCGACCGTAGTTTTTGATACCTCACTCTGACTCGTAGAACAAAATTATTTGACCATAGCAAACAAAACTAAACATAATGCCATATT